CGTCGTCGTCGTCGTCGCCGTCGCAGCCTGCGCTACCGCCCACGTCGTCGTCGTCGTCGTCGTCGCCGCCGCCGCCGCCGCCGTCGTCGTCGTCGCCGCCGCCGCCGCCGCCGTCGTCGTCGCCGCCGTCGTCGTCGTCGTCGCAGCCGCCGTCGCCGTCGTCGACCTTGCCTTCGTCATCGTCTTGGCTGGCGTGAAGAAAGCGGGGCCTCCAGATGGAAGCGAGTCTCAGAAAACTGGGGCCGGCTCTTCTGAAGGGTCCCTGGAACACACAAATAAATATACACGAGTAAAATGGTTCCCCATAGTCTCCCATATTTTCTTGGTTTTTGTCTTCCCCCCACTTCCCATATTTTCACATATTTTCCTAGGAATCGACGATTGATTGTGTCTGTGTTTTTCCCCCTCCTGATCTTCGCCCCGAGTCGGTTTTCTCACGGCCCCGAGGGCCCTGGCGCGCCCCAGGAGCCCGAGCGCGGCACGCTGGCCTCCTTAAAACCTCACGGCGCTCCTCGCCGCAGCCCGCGTCGTAATCGTCGCCGCCGTCGGCCTCGCCCTCGTCCTCGCCGTCGCCCTCGTCTTCGTCGTCGCCGTCGTCCCCAGGCATGCGGCGTCGTGATCTGCTCACAGCGAGGCCGGCTTTTCACCCAGAGAATCCTTTTTTGGGACGGCCCCGGGGCATGGCAAGGGGCCCCCAAAGGCCGAAGACTGCCAAACACCGTGCGCCGTAATTCTTCGCAAAGCGAAGATGTCAGGGTCGAGCTCGGGTTAGGTCGGGCAAGTCCTCCTACAGGCGGATTCCGGACGAAACATACAACAGACAGATTCAAGCAAAAAATCAAAAAAGCAAAAAATAGTGAAAGATTGTCTCCGGATTATTTTCCCCATTTTTGAATATTCCTCCTGTAGAGGGATACGCCCGACTTACAGCTCGGGGTGAACCGACTCGGCTGCGCCTGTGTAAGCAACCCAGCCGTGCAGGCATCGGTCCGCCTCGATCCGCCCCCAAAAAAGCATCGAGGTTCCATCGGACCGAAACGGGCGACGCCGGCGCCGAACTGGACCAAGCGGAGTGATCTGGATCCCGCCCGTCGCCGGTGGCCGTCCTCGCCCTCTCGACTCTCGCCTCTGCCGTGCGCGGGGCGGTTGGCACGAAGCAGACGAGTCATGAGGGAAACGAATCCTGGACCAGCCCCCGCGACCAGCTCTTCCCCCCGAGCGTGTTCTGACTGTCCGGAGGCCCAGGGGATCGTCGTACGTCGTCGTACGTCGTCGTACGTCGTCCGCCGTACGTCGTACGTCGTCGTGGTCGTGGTCGTGGTCGCGATCGTGGTCGTGGTCGTGGTCGTGGTCGTGGTTGTGGTCGTCGTCGTCGTCGTCGTCGTCGTCGTCGTCGTCGTCGTCGTCGTCGTCGTCGTCGTCCTTCGTCGCCGTCGTCCTTCGTCGTCGTCGTCGTCGGACGGCAACGTCGACGTCGCCCTCGCTCTCGCCGCCGCCGCCGCGCGGGGCTGTAGCTCCTGGTGTTCTCCTGCCGGGCCACCTGCCCCGTCCTCGCCGTGCACGGGGCCTCGGGCTCGCCGCCGTGGCCCTGCGCAGGAGGGGGCGGGCGGTTCAGAGGACTGGCGGCGCGCGGGCGCTGAATCCTGGGGGGACGACAGACGGGGGGGGGGGTGAAGAAAGGTGCACCTCCTTGTGTACACCTCGCGGGGCCCTAGAGGGGCCCCCTGAGGCCCAAAAGGGCTACCACGGGTGTGCGCTTCCTCCCCGCCCCCCTCCCTCATTGATCTCCCACCAGTGCGCAACGCCCGAGGCGTTGGGCAGAAGCGGGCGTTGGCGGCGGCGGCGGCGGTGAAGACGGGGACGAGGGCGACGGCGGTGGCGAGAGCGGCGGCGACGGGGACGAGGGCGGCACTGCCGCGCTTCGTTTCTGTGTCCTCTTCTGCTGCACTGGCAGGCCACCTGCCTGTGGCACCCAGGGGCGAAAGGGCCAGTGCTGCGCCATCCAGGCCCCGCCCAACCGCGAGGAACGGTGCGGACGTGCGGCCGCTCCTTTGCTGCGCTCGGGGGTGGACAGAAGCCCACCTTGGGAGGGAGGAGGATGAGGGAGGAGGATGGCAGAGGGAGGAGGGAGGATGAGGGAGGAGGAGGAAGGAGGAGGGAGGAGGGAAGAGGGAGGATGAGGGAGGATGAGGGAGGAGGGAGGAGGAGGAGGGAGGAGGGGGGAGGAGGGTGGAAGAGGGAGGAGGAGGGAGGAGGGAGGGAGGAGGGAGCTACGCCTGAGCCGCCGGGAGGCGGAGGACGAAGAGGACTACGTTTCGGACGATGTTGTTCCAGCCAGCCCCCGCGGGGTACTGGGCAACGACCCGTCCCGCTGGGCCCGCGGTGCCCGCGGCTTGGGGTGCTGGGGTCGCCGCCGCCCCAGGGCAGGGTGGGGGGGCTTCATGGGGTGGGGGGCACGGCGAACCCGAATGCTGGGGGGGAGGAGGGCAAGGCATCAGCCCGGGCCAGGGCCCACGGTTCTGGCCACCACCCAGCGCAAAAGCCGCACAATGCCACTGGCTGGTTGATGTTCCGCAAGGCGCACGCGCACCACAGAAAACGACCAACAACTACAACAATAACTAGCTTGAATCCGCGAACACCAGCAGCAAGATCAGGAGTTCATGGAAGAAACACACAGACGCAACTCGCAACTCTAATGGACTCAACCGCACAACGGAACAACACAAACACAAAAGGCACAACCGACGCCCAAGCCCAAGTTCCCGCACAGAAAACGACCAACAACTACAACACTACCTAGCCACAATCCGCGACCACCAGCAATAAGATCAGGAGTTCTTGGAAGAGGCACACAGACGCAACTCGCAACTCTAATGGACTCAACCGCACAACGGAACAACGCAAACACAAAAGGCACAACCGACGCCGAAGCCCAAGTTCCCGACATGCTGTCATGTACATGCGCCATACTGGGGCTACTCTACGACATCACATCACCCACGACGGCTACCACTTGTCCGTCAATGACCACCTGAGCTCAGAGTTCTGACGGGCTGCCATCTCAACCTCAGCTCACAAGTGCTTGCACGCTGCGTTCATGTACATCGCTCCCGTATATTCTGCTGCTTGGGTTCACTTCATGGGTGGGGTTGGGGAGGGCAGTGGCATGGAGCAACGGTTTATCTGCCAATCTGGCAGAAACCCTTGCTGAGCGTCCACTCTCCCACTGCTATCTTCTACGCATCACCCGTTTTCTGCTTCTCACCCGTCTACTTGGACCACGGGGGTCGTGCTTAACCCGTAGAGAGGCTACAAAAAGCGCGCGTGTCCCAGCACTGCGGAGGTTCGGGGTGAACCCGCAAAACCTTAGTCAGTAGCCCAAGAACTGCGTCACGCACTGGGCACATCATTGTGCTCTTTACTATTTGCCACGTCATTGGCATTAGCCGACACGTGTCAAATACTCTTTATCTGACTGGGTAGGAATGAATTGGGGCTATGGATTACGCAGGAATGCTTCAATGCGCCCAAAATGGTCCCACGACGGACCAAGAGGCTCCCAAGAGGCCCCTAAGAGCGCTCCAAGAGCCGACGCTGCTGCTTCACGACGGCGCCCAGGCCTCACGATAGAGCTCTTGCAAACCCCCTTATCCAAGAGGAGGGTGCTGGCTGCAGGGGGCGAAGCCCTTACGGATTTCAAGGCCGCAGGCTAGCCAGCACCGACTGCGCCAGCCTCATACAAAGCAAGCTTATCGTCTAGGCCACATATCTCGCTTGAGCTAGCCTCTCAGCGTAGCTGCCACTACCAGTACATACGTACAGCTACAGCACCGGCCAGCCATTTTGATGTGCCAGCCTTAGCCTGCTATCAGCACCGTTCAGTACGAGGAGGACGTAGGGGACGGCGATAGGGGGTGGTGGAGGAGAGCACAGCAGCGTGCTGGCTCCCTGAACCACAGGGAACGGTCCTACCAACTCAAGCTCAACAGGTTCCGAATAGAATTCGAGTCATCTCGATTTCTCCACAGGCCCGCCAGTACCGTCTGCGCCAGCCTCAGGCTCAGCCGCAGCCACTGCCAGCTGACAGACTACACTGTACCACAGCATTGCCATCAGCCTAGGCCATCCACTTCGCATGCGCCAACCTCTCAGTACTCATCTGTCGGGTAGACGCATGAAGTGGGAACGCGTGGAAAGTAGAGTGGGTTCCGTCCGCCCCCTTGGGAGGACGAACAAGGTGAAGCCTCCTCGATCATTGACGTAGGAAGGCGCTTCAAGTAGACTGGAGTATGGGAATCAAAAAATACATCCTTTCACTGACCGATGGGCCGATGGGTACTCTGCCTCAGCGCAATTCAGCACAGCTCGGTACTCGCCACGGCTTGGGCCGGCCATGACGCATGCGCCGGCCTCTTGACACCGACGATCGAGTGGGGAGGGGCTGGAGTTGAGATAGTGGTGCCGATGGGAAGGACGAAGGCGGCACCCCACCTTGGGTCTCTGTGACCAGGCCCTCCCTTCTCAGGGACCCTGCACCACCCAAGGAACCACACTTTCAACATTGTCTTTCTTCCACTCTTTCCTGCAATGCAATACCTTCCTCACCACTGTGATGCCGGTGCTTGATGTTTATGGCCACTTTGGCACGCCGGTGGGGGACGAGCCCCTAGGACCAGTCCCACTGTGGACGACTGGCCACAAAACACTGATAAATGATGAATGCAGACAGGCACTCCAAGACCAAAACTGGCCGGCCGCGCCCACACGACCGCTGTACAGCGACATGCACGTGCCGCGGATTCAAAGTAGGCTCGCCGTACGAGGGCGCTCCTTCCCGTGGCACAAGGCGAAAGCTGCTCCGACGGGGCGCTTGGGCGGCTCAAGACGCGGTCGAACCCCAGAGGCGCAACACACGGGTGATTGGTCGCTTGAATCATGGCTGCAAGTGCGTGCCGTCACCAGCACACCAAGTACACCGATGGGCCTTCGCCCATGTCCCACATCGGGCCACCGCCGCAAAACTGCCGAAACGACAGCCAGCTCCCAAATGAACCGTTGGTCAGGGCTCGGCATGCAGCAACGCTCTGGACACTGCGCGCATTCCTCAGTGCGACTGTGCGCTCAATCGACGACCCGCTAAGCTTATGCAGCGCGACCCCCCAGCCCCTGAGGTACGGGCGTAGCCAGGTGAAGCCCTCACGAGCTCGCCCCCGCCACAGGAAGTTCCCTTGCGGCGCTCCAGCCTGCGCCAAAGCAAACCTCATTTAGCATACACAGACTTATCCCAACTGTGTTCCGCTAACGCTGTCACCTGCTCCATTATCTATCTGTGCCACACTGCTTACTTAAATCTTCAATGCCTGATATGAATTACTATGGGCGGCGGTTCTGGGGGAGGATCTTATACGGCGACGCCCAGTGGGATCCGCCACGGTTCGAAGTTACAGTGCGTGTGTAATTCGATCCCTCTTGTTACTCTGATATTTCCGCCCCTACTTGGTACGTTACGATCAGAGAAGGAGGAAACGATGGAGGAGCTCTCCTCCCTTCCACCTTAGCGGCAAGCGCCGTTGCTCTGTGCCCTCTCTGGGCACTCCGCTGTTGCAGTACTTTCTGCCTTTCCTGTAACGCACGGGTCTGCCACCAAATTTACATCAATTTGTTCACCACTGTGCCAAGTCTGTTTTTTCTGCACCAGCCGAACGCTCCGGCCTAGACACTTAAGCCTGCCCAGCGTTACGTTGCTCCCATCGTACTCAAGAACCACATCCCAGAAGTAACTTCGAGCACTCAGAAAAGTACCAAAGCAATGTCGAACGAGTATCGCCTCCCAGGGCCCGACACGTGAAAACCCTCAGGTTCCGGTACTTCCTTGGTGCTCGAAATTCTTTCTGTTGATCAAGGCTAAGGTAGGCTGGAACATCATAAGCCAAGCGTAGACACCGGGACCCGCACCTCGGCGTCGCCGCCGAGCGCCCCATGGAGCGGCCCCCGCGCCACCTCCGGCAGGCCGCCGGTCAGGTCCGCTGGACAATCTGTGCACCCACGGTGGCGCGTCAAGGTGTCCGCTTTCCAGCCGCCCTGGGGCACGACAGAAACCAATATCTTGTACCGTTCTTCGCCCGCCAGAGGAGGGCGCGCACGGGGCGCGGGACGAGCGCTGCCCACGGCCGCGCCCCGTCCGCCTCGGGTCGCCTGCCAGGGCCCCGCCCCTGTTAGTTTTAGGTCCCTATAGGCGAACTTTGGAGGACAAAATAAAAAGGAGTCCAAAAAAAGAAAAAAATTACATCGTAATCGTCCCCAGACTATTTTTTTGCTGTTTTTGAGTCCTGGCCGCCCGCCGAAAGGCGGGGGGTGGGGAGGGGAGGGCGCGCGGGGAACGCTGAGGCAGCGCCCGGCCGAACACCAGGACCAGGAGCTCGAGAACGCCACCGAGAGCGCCCCGTTTGAACGGGTCGCCTGCCGAGGGCCCCCGCCGTCGCGAGCTCGCCCGCCAGAAGGCGGCGGACCACCCGCGGCGCTGGTGGCCCCGCAGCGTGGATTGGCACTCCCTTCAGTCGGGTGTGTCCCCCTACAGGCGGATCTTGGGCGAAAACCATGGTCAAAGAATGCCCTGGAGTCGGAGCCCCGCCTCTTCGCCGTCCAGCCCTCCGAGGCCGCGAGCGCCCGCCACAGAAGGAAGGGGTGGCAGGACGCCCGGGGCAGGGTGGGGCGGCAGGGCGCCGGGGCAGGGCGGGAAGGGAAGAGATGGCACGGGCTTCCAGCTCGGCGCCGCCCCCAGGGGGCGGCCACGGCGTCCGGCGCCCACGCCGCACTCCCCGTCGTCGTCGCAGATCTTCGCAGACTCGCGCCCCCTCCCGAACGAAGCGGAGAGATCAAACTCCAAAAAAATGTCGAGATGACGTGTGACGACGGACAGGGAGGGTGATGCTTGCAGGCTTCAACGTCAGGGGGTGAGGGCGGGTGTGCGAGGGGTGGCGACGAAAGCGAGACCGCTGGCGAGGGCAGATGCGATAGCGTAGGAGAGGGCGGAGGCGATGACCTAGGCGCAGGCAAAGGCGAGGGCGTTGGCGAGGGCGGAGGCGATGGCGTAGGCAAAGCCGTCGGCGACGGCGTATGCAACGCCGTCGGCGACAGCGTCGGCGAGGGCGAGGGCGTTGGCGAACGCGAGCCACGGCCAGCAGGCAGAGGGAGGGTGGAGGAGGGTGGAGGAGGAGGGTGGAGGAGAGGAGGGTGGAGGAGAGGAGGGAGGAGGAGGAGAGGGCGGAGGGAGGAGGGGGCGGAAGGGTGGAGGAGGAGGGTGAAGGGAGGAGGAGGGATGAGGGACGAGGCGGGGCGAGGGGGGAGGCCCAGCCTCGGCCGCCTTGAGGCTCCACGCGAAGTGGGTGCAGCTGGGCAGGGCGAGGCACACGCGAGCGCAACCCTCGGCGTCGTCCACCTCCTTCACCTCCGGGCCCGGGGAAGCGGGTGTCAGCAGTTTCCGCCCCGTCGTCGTCGTCGTCCTCGTCGCCGTCGTCGTCGTCGTCGCCATCGTCGTAGTCGTCGCCGCCGCCGTCGTCGTCGTCGTCGCCGTCGTCGTCGTCGTCGCCGTCGTCGTCGTCGTCGTCGTCGCCGTCGTCATCGTTGTCGCCGTCGTCGTCGTCGTCGCCGTTGTCGCCGCCGTCGTCGTCGTCGTTGTCATCCTCGTCGTCGTCGCCGTCGTTGTCGTCGTTGTCGTCATCGTCGTCGTCGTTGTCGTCGTCGTCGTCGTCGTCGCCGTTCAGGGTCGGCGGCACCAGCCGTAAGGCCTTCGCGATATACTCAAGTCCCAAGGTTCTCAGTCTGTGTCTATAGTTTCGAGCTTCCCCCGACGGCGAGACGCGCCGACGGCGAGGCCTTCTCTGGAGCGCGCAACATGATGACATGCTGCACCGCTGACGGAACATGTACTGTGCGTCGGCTTGGGGCGCCTAGGATGGAGGAGGAGAAGGAGGAGGAGGAGGAGGAGGAGGAGGAGGAGGAGGAGGAGGAGGAGGAGGATTGCGTCGGCCTGGGATGGTGGGTGTGAGGGCCTTTCGCTTCCTGCGCGGCCCTGCGACGTGAGCCGGCAACTCCGCCCCCGAACAGCAGCGCCCCGAGGTTGCGGCGGTCAGAGCACCGTGCCGTGCCGTGGGCGTCAACGGCGGCTCATCACGGGCGGCGCAAGGCGAGCCCGAGCGGCTCCCGGACCCAGGTCAAGGCCCTGGACTGCACAGCGGGCGCGCGCGGCTCCGTCAGCCTTCGGGCTGGCCTCCTCGACGGGCCGAGGTGGCCCGAGCGGCTGCTCCGGGCCAGCCAGCAGCCCGCCCTGCAGAACGCCTGGGCCGCCGCAGCGATCAAGGGCCTTGACCTTGCGCACGGCTTCCGCCAAGGGCTCGGCCCTCCCTCTCGCCTCCACGCGGGCAGCTGCGGAGCCACGGTCCAAAGAGGAACGGCAAGCGGCAGCACTATCATGTCTCGAGGTCCGCGCGGATTTTTGTTGCATCGGAACTGGACCCCCTCCCGTCGCACGGAGTACGCGAGGGGTGCCGCAAGAGGCGCCGCGAGGGAGGTCCAGCGCCGATCCAAGAACGAGCGAGCGAGCGGAAACCGAGGGGCAGTTGGATCCAGAGACGGGGAGGGAGGTACAGCCCTCACAACCCCCACCCAGCACCTACACGGTGGAGCCCGAAGGCCAGGACCACCTTGCAAGCGCCAGGACGGGGCGCGGGGGACATGCCTACCTCAACGCGGCCGCGGGCGGCCAGGGAGCACGGGGCCCGCGGCAGGCCCGTGCTCACCCGCGCGAGGCCCTCCAGGGCGCCGAAGAGCACCACGAGGGCTCCCAGCGCCATGAGCTGGTGCATCCACCACACCCAGTTCAGCGCCAGGTCAGCGAACGGCAAGCCCACGTGAAAAACGCCGCCGACGTGGCAATCGACGGGGACGCTGAAACACAGCAGCCCGATCGAACCACGGCAAAGCGGGCAGGCGCTCCCGCCACATAGAGCATTCAAGAGCCAGCAAAGCTGCAACCACAAGAATCTCGGACAGGAGTCATCCACCTGGCGACGAACGAACCTGCCGCCCCAAGGGCACAGGATTTGAAAGCAAAACAAGTTGTCAAAGCCGCCGAGGGTCAAAATCAAACACCACATCGCGGCTCCACCACTGTATGCAGCCACGGCTGCACACTCACTCCGACTCTTGGCCGTCATCATCATCTTCGGGAATGCGGCCTAGCTCCACGGCCTCAAAATACTCGAGCCCGTGTGCCAAGAGAATGCGTGAAGTGTCCAGGAGCATCTGCTTCTTCATTGGGGTCTGAAAGGAGCGGCTGCTCAACTCTAACTCCCACTTCTTGGTCACTCTAACCATGTCTCGTGCTGGCCCAGATGGCGATCTCTGAGACTCGAGCCTAACATGAGCTCGTATCGCCTGTGGATGCCTGAGATTCTCGAAGTGCCGTCGGTTCTCCACCTCGCGGCCACCTCCATGCTTGCCTTTACACTTCTGAGCCAGCCCTCGATGATTCTTAGAATCCGAGCAGAAATGCTGACAGCACGTAGAACAGAACCAAATAAAATGCGGCGAATCCACCATCGGATGTTCCACTAGGCTGTGGCCTGACACCTTCCATGGCTCCAGAAAACCATCGAGCTCGTCTTCCAGGATCAATTCACCGAAAGGCTCATTGCCCACCATGGCGGGCAGGGAAGGCTGTCCTGGGTCCTCCTGCGCCCCATCCTCCTTCGGCGGGAAATGGTAGTCCAGGCCCTCAGCGTTGCAGTCATACAGCCATGCTTGAAAACTCCCAAGGTACTGCAGTAGCATGTTGTGCAACTTTCTGCAGCCACGAACGAAATCCACATGCTCATCATATGGCATATTGTATGCAGCCCCTTGCTTCGCCAACGCATCTGCTGTGGAGTTGCCCGACAACTCAAAGTCAGACAACACACCTTCAATCACATCCGTCGGTGTTGCATGGCCCTTCACATGCTTGAACGCCTGCCGACGGAACTCCTCATTCTGAGCAATCATCTTCCACACATTGGCTCTTGGATTGCCTGCTCCCACTGCCAGGTTCGGAGAAAGACAGTACGCCAGCGTGCCCTTGCAGTCTGAGAGCACAGTGTATGATCCAAGAACCTGCCTGCTGACCATCAACATCGCATAATCCTCTCCACACTTTGCCACTTGTAGGGGGCACAAGTCTTTTGGCACTGCACCGCAGTATCTGGCCACCCTCCTGCGCTCCTGGTCGCATACAACAACTGACCATCCAGCGCTTCTCATATGCGGCATGTCAGTGCAGAACCCGCTTCCATCAGTGAAAACAAAGCCTCCTTCAACATGAACAACTCCCTTACGGCCCATGTCATAAAAGTAGTGTGCTGGGTTCCTGCTCGGATAAGCGAACGCTTGAGCAGGGTCAGGAAGAAGGCCACGGCAGAAAAGGGTCTGTAAGGCCTCATGGGGCCTGCTTCATACGCTTGACTGCACTGAGGAGCTCCTTCGGGAGCCTCTCCTGCCTGAAGTAGTGGTGCGCGTCGTACTCAAAGAACCTATGATAGAACGTGCCCGGGCAGCCTTGGCACCTCAAGCATACCGAGGGCTCCCCGTTGAAGGACTTCGAGACCCTGTACTGGCACCAGTGGGCCCCCGAGCACAGGCCCCTGAGAGCCCTCTTTTCCCTTGGCGGCAACTTACTGCGCTTTGAATGTAAAACCTCGTTCATGGGCATCCACGATAAAGGGCCTTGAGGGACTCGTGAGTCACCATCAGCGAGCCTGTGGAGAGCTTCCCTACCGATGTGCCTCCGAACCCCGTGCTTGACCATCGAGCTCAGGAGGGCGGGCGGAGTGGTTCTGACGTCCCAGAGCTGCTCGTCGTCATCTCTGATGGCGTGGACGTCCTCCCAAGCCCACCCAATCCTGTGGAGCGAGAGGAGAAGCGCAGCAATCGGGTTTTGCACTTGGCCCAGCGTTGTGGATCCAGTAGCAGCGGCCTCGCTTCTTTGAGCAACCTGTCCACGACCGCCCATGTGACGGCCTGTGAATTCATGACGACAGCAAAGGTGTGGACAGCGTCCACCGTCGCAATAAGCAATGGGTCCTGCTGCCAGCCGCGCTCTGCCGTCAGCAGTGAAAGACCCACAGATGCACCTGGTTTGTACTTGCCAACGTTCAAGCACGACATGCGCAGGGACTGGATCCTCGAACTTGCCACACCATGGATACTGGAGCCCCACAGAGATTTGGCCAGGACCCCTGCTCGATGCACAGCTGATTTTTGACGACCCAGTCCCTGGAGAGCTTTGATACGCACGCCTCGCTGCATGGCCTCTGGGATCCTCGAAACCTGAGTGCTGATCCTCCTCATCCTTCCGTCGATGGCGTCTCCCCCTAGATCTCTACGAAAGGCGCCGCGTCCAAGGCAAGGAACATCTCCTGGCCAAAGATCTCGCACACTCGCTATTACTTTACGGAAAACTGCATCATCACTGCACAACAGACCGCACCTATCCCACGAATTCGGGAGCCTGCGGTCCTCCATGCCTCTTAACAGCATCGTTAGACCAGTAATAGCCCGATCTGCAACCTGAGCGGGCCCTCCAATTACATGTAAGCTGATATCATCGATCAAGTTCTTGATTCTGATGAGGTTACACTTGGCCCCTATGTTCCTGAGCGTAGTGATCGTCATCAACTTAGCCAACCCTGTTGCGCATGAGCAACCTGCAATAATGGGCCCGTTCGCGTTAATGACCTCCGAAACCGATTGCTGGTAAACGGCCCTCCTCGGGCCTCTGTGCAAGGCACGCAAGGGCCTCAGCAGGGCCAGGGGAAAATCAGTATCCCTGGCAGCGCACAACAGTTCCTGGTGGCTGACCATTTCATAAAACTTGCGGGGGTCCACAAACGCGCTGAAACTGACAAAGCCTAACTGAGGAGCCACAGCCGCCAAGGTGTTGTGTACCCAGGCGGACTTGTCACATGAGGTCTCACTAGAGGCTCCCCAGAAAAAAACCTACCGGGCAACTTGGATTCCCATTTGGAGACCTGCTTGTTTCGCAATCTGGACCAAAGTCTAGCAAACAAAGGCAGCAGACCTATGGGTCTTTCCCCCCTTTGTGGTTTGGGGGGAAAAACGATGAGAGTAAGCCATATGTCGGTGAGCTCTGGTTCAGCTTCCCACTGATGTAAAATCACGAGCAATGCCTCTATGAGAGGCTCAGGCAACTTTTCAATCCACCTCGGGTGAAAAGAATCCCAGCCAAGACCAGTGTTGGGCCTAAACGACCCAAGTGCTGCTCGCACCTCTGTCGGCTCAGTCTCGGGAAGGGGAGTCGCGCCTGAAACATCCCAGGAGAGGGGGTGGGGCTCCAGGTCCCTGGACTGAAGCTTCCAGGGCGAGACCCAAGTCCCCAGCATGGCCTTCAAGGCC